ATACACTGTGAATTGCCAGCATCCTAATGTTTATGATGTGAGCAGGGACATTTGTCTAGAAGCAGCTGATGCTGCCCCGATTCTGAACGAATGTCCCGAAAAGGCATTGTGGTTAAGTCCCCATTTAGCTTAGAGTGTTCTGAGATACATTATAAATTTAGCTGTAGTGAGTGGTTTGCCCAGCAGTGTAAATAGGGGCACATTGAGGTTTAGTCCAGTGAGTGATAACCTGTAAAGGTCTGGCATTTTGACCGGGCACCTTATTGTCCGTAGGATAGTACCTGATCTCTGTACGTTCGTCACATGGTAAGAGGATGTGAACTGTTTGGTACTAGGATAGGCATGTAACGGACCGTTTTGCACACAAGGGGTAAAAACCGTTTAGGCGATCGGCCCCCTTTCCAGAGATCCAGGCACAGCTACTGCAGAACACCAAAACTCACGAACTGGATACAAAATAGCACTCCAACTCCCGAACTGGAACCTCCCAAATAGCTGCTAGCAGACGAACAGGAAAAGCAGACAAACAGCTTACACTCCTGGCAATCAGTCTCTAACAGCATACAGTGAATCCCCCCCAAGAACGAGACAAGGCTCTGTGTTGAGGGTCAAGCAGTGGTCTGAGGTGCTGGCACACCCAGCCTGGTTTTTATTACAGTCTTGCAAATACAGGACCGCCCACAGGGAGGTATAAAACAGCCAATCACATCACAGTTACATCCCACATATTCCCTCCCCTTATCCTGAGAGGAAACTCAATTACACATACAGTTAAAACATACTTTCTACCCAACTTTCATAACTCTAAAACCATACATCACATTCACATAAAATTACATATTTGGAATCAATCCATTCAGGGGAGCAACATATTAAAAAAATGGCACAAATCAGACAAGAGGTTCAAAAGTTAGTAAAAAGTCCTTTGTGACTAAATGAAGCATGGCTTTCTGGCCCAAACCAGTTTCAGAGACTTCTATCCTGGAGAGTAATTCAATTATCTCCCAGGACAGACACAAGACTCCATTAAGCACATGGTTGCAAAGAGACACAAAACACTTTAAAATACATAAAGTCACATTTATTACATAAAACACAGACATGTAACATATCCCCAGATAGCTCAGGTCCGAGCGCACATTATTAAGCGAATGGCGCCCAGACCACACGAATACAGTTTAATCGCCATGGAGCCAAAGTCTTTACAGTCAGTTTCATACGAATGGGCTCCATGGGATTCCTATCTGGGGTATAACACATTCAAACAAATCTACTGAACCCCAGGCAGAAAAGCACGAATGAAGCTTTTCTGCAGGCAAAAAATAAAGTCTTTTAAAAGGGGGCCATAGTCCAAAGGCAGCAGGCGAGCAACCAGGCTTCTCCAATGCAATGTGGCGAGATTGGTCTCGTCACAAGGCACTTATGATATGGTGTAGTATTCCAGTCAGGTAAAGTTTTGTAGTGTTAAGAGAGAGTTTTAAATTCAGGGGGCAAAAAGGAGAGGAGTGTCACGATGGCGTCTAGTGAAAGAATATAGGTATTATGGTAATTGGTGGTAAACTTGTTGTAAAGGTGAAATCTCTATTGTATGCTTGTGATGTATAAATGGAGAGGGCAGCTCTATCCATAAATATGCCAAATGTCATGAGGCAAGTTAGTCCAGGATTTAAGCCATGTAATGCGGGGGGGAGGGTGATAGACAGACCTGTTGTTGGCTGTCGGGTGGGCTTCGAAGAAGTCTTGTAAATAAGAGCGAGATAAAGCTTCAGCTGTTTGTACATTCGACAGAATTTGTGCCCACTTGATGTGAAATTGTAGTGTTGCTGCCTACCAGGTGAGTTGTCTAATAAGCCATGATTGTCAAGGATGAGGATCTGCCTTTATTGATGGTTTCGCTGGCTGCTCCATTGTCAGAGAAGCACTTGACAGTTTCCCCTATCCACTCATACCCCCAGGCCTTGTAGGTGGCACTAGATTCGAAACAATGCTGAGGAGGAATGAAAAGTCACCAAATTGATTGTGAAACTAGTGTGTGTGGCTTCATTGTTCCATGTAACTGGGGAATGTTGAGAAATGGCGGGAATAACCTGGCCTACTATTCCAGTGTGGTATGAACCTAAGCCATATGTGTAGGTCTGCTTTGGTAGGCACAACTAGTGCCAAAATGCAACTGCCAGTGGGAAGAAGACAGTGGTCAGGAAATAAATGTGCGGCCCTAAGGAATAATTCTCATGACGAAGTTCAACAGTACTGTAGATCCCTCCAGGTACACGTGCTCTTCACAAGAAAAAGGTTCCCCGGACTCCGTTCCGCTGTACTTTCTCTGTAGGTGGACATGTTCTGTAGCGCGATAGGGTCAAGATGAATGCCTAAGAAGATCAGTTTGTGAAAGTGGAACCCCTAAGGGTGAAAAAGTGCCATCGTCTTGTGAATACTAACCAGATTGAAGTGAGGGTGTTCTATCGCGAGGAAGTCATCTAAGAAA